AGACAACAACTAGACCGAAATCGTCTGTATGACCGCCTGTGCACAACGCCTTCGTGTGTCATATGCCCATATGGTGAGGGAGGAGGCTGCATGACATCCGGTGTTGTATATTTAATATCGTGCCTGCAGTGCAAAGAGGAGCATATTGGGGAAACAGGCAGGCCTCTTTGCATCAGGATAAAGGAGCACCTGGATGGTATACAAAAGTCGCGAACATCTACTCCTCTAGGAGAACATAGAGTACGATGTCATGGGAACATGAGGTTCGAGGTGACGGTCACGATATTATCATGTGAATCTGATATTGCGCGCGGCGAACCTTAGAGCTCTTTGGATCATGACCAAGGCTCCTAAAATTAATCGGAGGGAAGAGTGCGTGGCGATTACCACAGAGCTGGCGCCGTTTGCAGCATTATGTGGATTTTGACCTACGCTGTCGATCCCCCGCGGGGTCCTCTCGGCGGGGAGGGGTCAGGAAGCTTATACAGTAATCGATAGGAGTTGATTTGGAAGGGGTCAGCGGCGCGCTCGACCTTATGTGGCTTTTGAGGAGGCTTGATCTACGTGATCAGCCCCTCGGAGTTCCCTGGAGCAAGTTAACCTGAGACTCACCCTATTTAAACCGCAGTCCTACCAGCTTGGGGTGATCGGTGGACCACAAAGGTCGGCTATCCCACAGGTTAGTTAACAACTTCCGACTTCCTACTAGTCCATGCCCTTTAAACTTTCTCTGTAGGTTGAAATAATTCTTGATCGAATGGTTTTTCAAGTGCCTTTTGTCTTTCCAGGCTCCTATGAAGGTGAAAGCACCGAAACGTCAGCCTAATAAACATTGTTGCAATCTCGCTTTAGCTCAAAAGAAAAACCTCAGTACTGTAAAGAAGCATGCCGAGATTTATAGAGAGTCGTACATGGTCCTTTATTAGCTTCACCTACTATGTTCTTGAAAGGAATCCAAACTCATCCGATAAGTTGGTTTTCATCTGGAAATCTATAGTATGTTACACCATCTTAGCACAGTATAAAGGATTATTTTCAAATGTTGACATGATGTTAACATGGGCCTTTAGTCGGATGGAACTGGACGGTGTTGGGAACGAACACGCAAGGACAAAGCCCCTCTCTAATAGAAAGTGAGGGAGGTACACGTGTTTGGGAGAGCACGAAGTCACCCGATAAGGGAAACAATGGAGCTCGGATTTTGGCAACAGGAGAAAGAGAGCCTCCAGGAAAAGGTGTGGGACGTAATCAAGAGGCACCTCGCTGAAGCTAAGGTGACTGCAGAAGATGTTGTAGGAGGAAATGGCGGCGAGTAAAAAAACAGATGACATTGCGAAGGGCACGGTAAACGGGAGATGAAGAAGAGGCATCGGGATGAACGAATCTATATCATGAGTTGTATTAAAGGCACAAATCACGATAAAAATGTCTTCTGAGATTTCCCCATATAATTAATTCGAGGCTCCCCTTCTATCATACCTGTCGTTATAAGGGCGAAAAACGTCCTGGATAGGGCACAATAGGGAACCAGAGATTGTATCTTGTGAATGCCACACCCTGAGTGGACGAGTTTCAACGGCTTTATAAAGGCTGCACTATTCACAAGGGAACCAATGTAGGAATAGTGCAGCCTCTACAAAGCCGTTGAAACTCGTCCACACGGGGTGTGGCTTTCACACGATACGATTCACACGATACAACTTTTCATGATCCATAGCGACAATTAAAGGCAATTCTGGACAGTTATGGCTTGATGAAGGCAGCTCGTTGCACGATGGGAGCAAGTTAGATCTTGCTCAAACACCTCTTACATGCATTCCTGTTACGATGATCTCGTACAACCTTCAATTCCGCTTCTTTGAAAAAACATGAAGAGAGCGTATTTACTCTCTTCGTCACCGATGTACACCTCTATATCAACACTTCCGCTTTTCAACCTAAAAAGGATATATCAAAATTATCGTGAACTGTGCCTTCAATGACGGCATTAATGCATAATTTGTTCGAATTTGCCAAATGTTAGCAAGATCTTTGAATATTTCGCCTTATGAAAAGGCGGCAGCAGCTCATCAAATCTATATATATATATATATATATATATATATATATATAAACTTATCACATGCAATATAGTAAGCAGCGACAGGAACAACGAGAGTCTCAAAAATATAAAATATTTTGATCTACGAGCTGTTACAGGTCATTGCGCACGCGCCTTTCAGAAGTATACCGTGATCAATCTGCGTGTCTATGTTGAGAATGGAAAGTGGCACTTCAGAAATAAGCCCAATAAGTAGGTGGATAAACATCCAAACACTGCATGCAGATTAGGGCACAGACACATGCAGTGATTGCTCAACAGGTAGGAAAGTAATGATTTAGAATAAGTTGTCGTTCGATACGGATGCTCATTCATGACACGACAATGCTTTTCACGCATAGCCGACCCAATTTTTTGCATTTCACATGTGCGTCAATAGGGTAAAGGCGAAAGGCCGTGCACCAGAGACTATGTCACAAAAAGCTAAGCTCGCCTCATGAGAGTCTGAAAATGCTGATACTCATTCAGAAGAAGCTCTGGTCGCTGCAACTGACGAAGACAAAGTTACTTCTAGATACAACAAGCATTTCATGCAAAAAAACAGTTGTGAAGCCCGAAAGCGTTACTGAAACCTCAGAGATGTAATTTGCAATCTACTGCGGCCTGTTTAGAACTCAAAATTTCAATCACATAACTATCACTGGACAAATGAGCTGGTACAACAAACTGCAAATTGATTGTATTTGGCCATTCATATAGCAGCGGTTGAAAGTCCTCGGTGGAACACTTTTTCAGGTGTAACTTTTCTCCTACTGCATAAAATCACATGAAATTTTAGTATGTGTAATCAGAGATTCACTGGGAATACGTACCACTGTCGAACTGCAATTCGCTATTGCTCGCAGCACGTTCGTGAGATTCAACTCATATTCAGTCAAAAATATAGAGGGCATTGACCTGAGAGAAACCGTTTTGTTTTGGAATAACAACATGTGAAACATCAAAAACATCAATGTTCGGAGGGCATCGACTTTTGATGGCAACATCGCAAGGAGAAGGCATCGAGTCCACTAATTTCTAGATGATAGACACTGGCATGATGGTTTACTCCTTTGCCAACAGAGCGTTTCTTCACTGTTCTTACAGAGTTTTTGAACAACTCCTCTTCCCACATGTGCTCTATAGGATTCAGACCCGCCCCACTCCAGAAGTTTGTTTGTTGTTCGCTGATGGCCGCCTGTCATCGTGCCGTCAGTGTTCAAAATAGGGCCAATTCCGTTTGAGTAGGAGGCACTGTACATTATCACATTTCATATTCACATCACATTCACCTTAGCCGCAGAGAGGCGAAGGTCAACCCTTGGCCGAAGTATCACTACCCCTTCTGTCCTAAGCTGGTTAATTGCATCCAGGTTCTGCATTACAATCAGAGTTCCTTACCAGACAGCATTTTGTAGTCGAAGAAATCGTCTGATGTAGAACTTTCAGAATTCTTGGAATGGTCGTCACTTTTATGCACAATTCCTTCATGTCTGCTGCTGCCTGCAGAACTTCCTGAGTGATTTCTGCCCTTCTGCATGCCTCAGGCATACAAAACGTCGAGCACAAACGAGACGCAGAACATGCAGATATTGTGGACCTTTTAATTAGAGAAAAATGCTTCAGTAGTGAAAATTTCGAGCGGAGTCACGAGACCCCCCAGTTCTGAAGCCGAAAAGCATAATTCGGTTTCGTTCGAGGCGAGCTTTGACACATCGAAATTTTTCTCAAGTCTACTCACCAAAAAAAAGTTGCTAATGGGAAAGCGTTTCACCGAAAACTTACTGACTGCTACTGTATCTGCATACTGCTTTTTCTCACCAGGACATCTTGAGCTTATTTGGGAACACTGGTCAATGCCACCTTCATCTTCCAGCTACACTTTGAGAACAATAGACTCTTTTTCAGTGATGAGAGGCGCGTGTTGCAGGAATTCCATCCTAATTCGTAGAGTAGCGGCCAATTTCGCAATCACTGAAATCACTTGATTGCAACCGATTTCGTGATCTATCTCCCACTTCAATTCACACATTTCGTAGCCAAATACTGCATTTCATGAACCTCTAAATCAATTTTATAAATCTTTCAACCGTTCCCGTAATTTTCTTAATGTGCGACCTGGTATGTACTGAGCGAATTACCTATATGAAATTGACTGCAATGTTGAGAATGATTGATAACCTCTATTGGTGAGGATTAGACTTTCATATCTCCCGCAGTATCGGAGTCGTGAACCCATACTAGGGCAAGTGGCACCAGCTTAATCATTACGCTTCTGAGTAAGCTAGAGCAAATGTTTCATGCAAAATGCAAGCCATGCACTGAGATTCGCTACACAAGAAGGTTTGACCAGTGAACCAATAAATTTTAGTTTCAGCCGTTAGGTTTCGACCAAACGCTTTTACGCTTTTTCGCTCATACTTTTTTCTTAGCGGAGCAAGTCGCGCAAAATTTCGATATGTTTAACTAAAGCATGTTTCACACTATCCAACACTACTTGACTGCGAAGCAGCAATATCCACATAACGAGAGCACGATGTTTGTTGCAGTAGCAGACTTAGCTAAAAGCAACGTTTATGACGTATGCAGTTATTCGCACATTATGTGCGTTCTTCTATTGCGTTCGGCATTCGCGCTCGTATACTTTAGTCGTGGCAAAAGAGGAAGGAGCTAAAGAAGAACCATCATTCGTATTTCTAGCTCAAGAGTTCGAGCCCTTCAGGTTATCTAGAACATGATCAGATTGCGAGTTCATAGTTGTATATATTCACAATTCACCTATGCTACACATATTGAAGCTCCGCATGATTACATCGCACGACAGGAAAGGAGTTACGACTGAAAAGTACATTAGAAGAAGCATTCGGCTGAAGACTTTCAAACGCTACTGTACGTTTCAACAAAATTATCCGAAGGGTAGTCACCTTATAAGGTCAGCGTCGGCTTGTAGAAAACATTCGAGAATCTTGACATAGTCAGGGTTCTTAACGCTCATGTTACCACACTTCATCGCATTATAGATCACAACTGTACGTGCCAAGGCTACGTCACGTGGCTCGATCGCCCAAGGTGCGGTGGCAGCTCCGGATTGTATTATGGCTCTCTGAAACACCTGTGTAACTCATCATATTTTTCCCACATTCCTGAATATACATAAAACAAATAAACTGGTCCTTTGTATTAGTTCAGTCATTAGTTTTGAATGAGACACAAAAAACGGACTGCCTTGATCGGATGACTTCATTTTTTCTAGGCAGTGCCAGTGCGCCTTTTTGCTCTGGGATTAAATTTTGGCCGAGTATCAATCATAGATGGTAGTGTAGCGGCGAGTGATGCATTAACACAGACGCATCGGTCACGAGTTTGAATCCTACAATTATATCCGCCCAGGCCAACTGAGCCCTCCACCCCTCCTGGGTTGGTTAGTTCGTATCAGATCCGTCTGAGGGGATAAAAGCACTGACCTGCACATTGGCTGACCTCCCCCTAGTCGTTGTACAATCCACATACGCAATCAATACGCTACTACGACCATGAATGGAAGTCGAATGCTGGGCACATCTCTCAGGCATCCTTCAAAGTCCAAAATTCTTATCCTTCTCATCCATCATCAATCATAGCTGACGTCTTGATGCTTGTTCATTCGTGCGAAAAGATAGTAAACGGCATACAATTGACATATCCTTCACCATGTTTTGGTTGTGCGGAGTTGATTCAAGGTTTGATGCGCCCTTCGTATAGCAGCAACGATACCGCTGGCGGGCAGAGCGAGCACTTTCCTAATGTCATAGAAACTGAAGCGATTACAACATCTCAAAGATTCGAATGGTCGGGAGTGAGAATTATTTAGACTTTTGTTAGTCATCCGAGGAAGGAAATAAGTAATCGACAAGGATAATGACAAAACCTTATAGAATGATAATAAGCCTTGATAAGTCTATTAGGAGAGAGGTTTGTAGCAGAGACAGAAAGCGCCATAATCACAAGGTCCCAGAGTTTTGTGTTTCTTCACCGTATCTTGCATTTCAGGGCGGGAGGACGGTAGCTGTCATAATGTCAGAAAGTCTACATTGTGTCATAATTCCAGGAAGAGTCTACATCATACACCATAGTCAACTCCATATATCCCGACCTTAGCCTTACTTTCTTTTCGTGCAGTTAACTATCACATTTTACTCGAGCCTCATGTCCAAAAGTATGAGTTCTGGGAGAGGAATCCCTGGCTCTGAGTTGTTTTTCTGTCTCCTCGCGACGGTGTTCATGTAGCTGATGTTTTGATTTCCTTATCCTCCCACTCCAACGAACGCATGACGTTCCCGTTAGCGCACGAATTGATTTTTTGCAAGGATTTGTAAATTTGCCAAAGCCTTATTTCACGTCAATTTCCTTGTAGAAGGGTGAGGTTTTGGTAACGGAACCGTTACGAAAAAATTTCATAGAACAAGTTAATATGTTATGTTTGAGCATTGGTTGTTGGGGCTTGGATAACGGCTGTTGTTGCAAAATTAATGATTATCGAGTGATTAGATAATACTGTTTCCCGGCCGTTATTGACCCTTATCAAAAGCTCCTTGATGACGGACAAGAGGCGGATAGAATACTGGTTGCTAAGACTGTCTTCTCTTACACGGTGTCCTGATGGTTTCCTTATCGGTTTCCTTCAAAAATAAATACTGGAAGGCAACTCAATTGTTCATGTCAAGATCGAATGTTGTACGACGCTCTAATAGTGAAGTAGTTGTGCTTTTGCGAGACACGTACAATAGCCATTGTGTGTTGGAGTCTTCTGTCACGTGGGACTATTTTCCAAAACTCTACACAAATGACGGTAACGTTCTCTGCAAACCTCAATCCTAGGTAATTGGACCCATCAGTCAACAGGTGAATATGTGTGATAGTGCTAAAATCATTTGTCCTGTAGAATTATGTGTAAATATAAAATTGCACAGGTATAAAGTGCGTATTGAAGATTTTGCAGGATAGCCAGAGAAGCAGGGAAGAAAACCCTAAAATTTGGATTTACATATGCGAGGCTTTGACCTTCACCTGAGTGGGATTCCTCTCTATTTCGAAGATGCAGAGTGGCCATTCCGCTCCAGCATATACCTTCACAACATGAAGATTTCCCGCCGGCACTTTCCTGAGGCTAAAACTAAGCACACGCTACACCTTCCTGATGATATAATACTATCCATGGAATGCAAAAACATTCTTTTTTCTGATCCTCCGATGAAGAAATTTCCATACAATGTTGCGTTTTGAAAGTAATTACATCCTGCTGATAATCGTAAGCTTCTCCACTATTTTAGGATGAATTTCATAATATGAAGCAGGGAGGTTGTTCGTTTCATGAAGAGGTGGAATTAAGAGGTAAGGTAGTTACAGTCACATAAATTGCCTCGATTTGTCGGAACTCAGTGAAAAATTTGCATGAGCAGTGCTATTGCAATGACCACTAATGTGAAATCTGTAATGACTTTAATGGACCCTATCAGATTCATTTTAAGAGTATTCGGCTGATCTTGGCTTTGATGTCATTAACGACGACGTTGGAGAGGGTACAGCTCACTTGTAGCGATTCTCAGCTCCGTGTAGAAGGCTTACAAACGCGGTCAAGTACTACGTAGTTTACGTCGACGCCTAGGCGAAGAAGACTGCTAGATGATCTAGGACTGCGCCACATTCATTCAAACGTCGTGGAATGCTGATCATTCGGCTTTTGTACGTGATTATTTTTTCTGCAGCGGGAACGGCGACGAGCTCGCGTACGGCCTCTCGGGAAATAGTTTTCTTCTATTGTCTAGACCGGTTTGAAACAAAGAGTCTTATCTCGTTCTATTCAATCGATTCGTTTTCATGACCATTATCTTGTGATTCTCACCATACACTGCCGGTGAAAGTACCATTGCATTGAAAACACAGATAGCTCTCTTCAACACATCCAATTCGAAACACAGCTCAGCTACAATCGCTGTCGTGCGCCTCTTTATCAACAACCGCTCAGCTCTCTTCTCTTCCACTTTCACCTTAACTTCTCTTCTTTGCTTGCAACAGTCCTGCGATTTGGATCCCAGCGAAATCGCTTAGCGATGCCGGATTGTCTTTCAGTCTCAGGATGAGGGAAGATCTTCACTTTTTTCCCGCTAAGGAAGCCCACCAGTAACTTCCTCGGCTCTAGCACTATGGCAGGACAAACCTTAGATATTGACCACACTGTCCCAGGGTAGGTGGGAATCTTATGCAAGCTCGTGATTGCAAGCTCCTGATAAAACTCGCATCGGGATAGAGTACACTGGCCCTCGAATGCACCACACGCATGCATGAACACTTAGTTGAGACACTGTCAATTTAGTTTCCAAATATAATCTCAAAAGGGAAGACCCTTGTTTGAGTGGCCATTCAGGATGAGTTGTGTACCGCCTTAGGTGCTTGAACGCTGATCTCGAAGTTGCGAAACGTTTCGGGGAACAATGTCACGGAGCCGCTTTCCCTTTCTGCTATAACCCTGTGACGAAATGATCATCAAACCAAGCAGCTATTCCAATTGGTAGAATGGTGGAATCAAAGACATGACATGACGGTTTGAGTTTATGATACATATGCTCATTTTGCTTCTCATAAAACGTGTTCTAGGCGCTTGCGACACGCTTTCGCTCTTCGCATTCGGGCTTCTATGAGCCTCGGCATGGTTGTAACTTGACGTTGCTTTGCTTTGAACTCTCAGGGGATTATTGTAAAGTTTATTAGCTGACGTTCCGGCGATATCGCCCTCTTATGAGCCTGAAATGGATCAAGAACAATTTGTGGATATTACTAGGTTGAGTCACAAGTGCTCGGACAATGTGATAGTGATGATTTCTAGGGTTCACGACTCGGGAAATAGGTGACGATTACGGACGCTCGAGGAATCGTCAGATAGAGTTTAAACAGCTCTTTCAAACTCATCCTAATGAACACGCCTAACCGTATCCCTTCCTGCAACCATGCCCCATGATTTCAAGCCGTCGCAGCTCCACCTCCGCAACACCAACCTATTTATTTTTCATCTGGCCAAGGAACCACGGCAACCGAGAGACGTATGAAGGAAATTTGCAAAGAGGATGCGTTTGCTAAAAGCACAACTTGCAAGTCGCACACAAGTTCGCGTCGGGTGACTACTCCATCGAAGAGGAAGACCGTACGTGACGTCCAATGAAGTTGGATTTGGACATGCTGCGAAGCCGGATGGAAGGCCATCCGTATCAAACTACTCGCGAACTGGCAGTCACTCTTGGGGTGGGTCAGTTCGCAGTTGTTCATGGATTGAAGCCAATCGCAAGATGCGAAAGCTAGGTCGATGGGTGCCGGCGGTTTTGAAGCAGTATGACATGAACCGCCGCGCCGACATGACACTCTCTCTCCTCACGCTCAAGCATACCCACACGTGGCTCGAGCACTTAGTCACAGGGGCTGAGAAGTGGACTCTCTACTCTGACGATCACCGGCGTACTCAATGGGTTGACAGAGGTGCGGTTGCAAAAGACATTCCTAAACCCAACGTACACGCAAATGAGTTTAGGCTATCTATCTGGTGGAGCGTTCGCGGTGTCGAATACTGGGAGCTGCTGAACGAAGGATGTACAGTGATCGCACAGTCTACATTAAGCAACTGAGGAGTTTGAAGGTGAATCTCGAAGCTACACGTCCACAGCAGAATTTGTGGCCTTATCGAAGAAAGACTTCGTGGAGTATGAATCATTTTCCCTCATCGCACATTTCTGAGCTGCGAAAAAGAAAAGCAAACGTATTCTTCACTGTATCGGGTTTAATAAATTAAGGATAAAAGAACAGCAATACTACTTCGCGGAAGTTCTGTGATTTTATGAATTTGTGACCTTGTCGAAGAACGACATCTTGAAATATGATTCATTTTTCCCTTTTGAGGCTCCAAAAAGAAAGGCATACGCCTTTTTCACCAAGTTTATTACCAGCACGACAGCGCTGGGCTGCACATTGCAAGAACGACTAAATCTACTAAACCCACCGTGTTCCCCAGACTTAGCTCCCTTGAATTACTACTTTTTTCCCATCTCCAACGTCATTTGGATGGTCAAGACTGTCAAACCCGCGACGACATCAAAATGGTACCTGAGCGGTTCTTCAAGGGCCAGTCCCCAGCGTCCTGGAGCAAGGGCATCTACGACCTGCCCAAGCGCTTGCAAAAGACCATTGATGCCAATGGGGTATATTTCAAGTGATTCGCGATTGTCGTTCAAAAATTGTAAAATAAATATAACAATCGTCATTTGTCCGAGGACTCAACCTTGTAGATCAAATGTCCCCACAAGCCTACGAAAGTTTGGGACCCACAGGGCACCACGTAATTCAGAGAAGGGACACTCATTGTTATATCGTGGATACTCGAGCTGGGCCCGGTCTTTATTGGAATCCCTGTGGTAAGGTAAACCTTACATAAGGCCTTATTTCTCTCGTGATTGTGGACATTCTTCCCTCTGCTTCATTTTTGGATTGGTGGCCTCGGAGGATTTGCGCAAGCACAGTTGCAATTCCTGGGACACGACCTCGGCGGTGA